TAATAACTTCGTCAACGAGTTAGATGACTTCCTTATCACTTTGATACCGCTACTACTTGTAATATTAATAATAATACTACTTATAAAATGATGTCAATGTCACGTCACCTCTTGCTAAAAGACTAAAAGCAAATTGAAACTCAAACAACACCCAATAACTGTCAACACGTACTAGGTGATAACTGTGACTAGGATACTAACTGTGCCTGTGGCAGAGGTTAGAAATGCAGCCTCTTGATGGCCCTATCTGAAATGACCTGAAGAAATAGGGCGATATTTGCTCAATAAATGATGCTGAAATTTTAATTCGGCAGCCAAGGGGTCGCTCGTGAGAATCTTGTAATCTTACCTTCAATTATCACCCACCTCATGAATATTCAATGTATTCATTCATCTTAAACTACTTTAGATGGCCTGATCGATAGTGTTGTCGACACGCTGCTGAGTCAAGTAAGGTATTCAGAATGTCATCGGTATCAATCCACAGATTAACAATTTGTTCACGTGAAGCTTACGATAACTCAGAAACTTGGTAACTGTGTGTTACCCTATTTCATTTTGTCCAGACTTTAAGAATTGTACTTGTTCTGTTAGAAGACCTTCAATGTTCAATACTACTAAACTTGCCATATAGAATCACTAATGGCCTGATCATATGATTTCACGGAAGTGTACTAATTCAGTTTAGAATGGATCATACACAATAAGGCTTTGAGAAAATTCATAGTCCTAATCGTAAAACAGTTCCTTCCACTTATTTTTATATCATGTCTCTTTGAAGATACAGAGATTTGTAGGAATATCAATACGCCATAATCAAGGTGTACAACTGATGAGCTGATCAGTTAACAGACAGACCACTAGCTTTCAGTTAAGCTTCTAAGATAGTGCTTGTTTGACTGTATGCGTCTACTCTGTATTCAGTCATGATTCATACTATTCACCACTAACTTCATTCATCAACGCAATGTTTTTAATTGATAAGATTTAACGATTACAAGCAATCTGAATTAAAAAATTTATAACCAAATGGCTAGACAATAGTGAGATGAAATATTTATATGGAGTGAGTATTTTATTCTGTGACACTATCAATAGCATCCTTCAGCTGAAAACAATTAGTCCGTTTAGTGTGCATCAATAGTTTAGTGACAGAATGCTCGCCAACCACGCAAGTGGTGTTCAATTCCTGCTTGACGCACTCCTGAATCCTCTCCTAGCATATTAGCCCGTAGGAAGCTTGGAGAAGAGGGAAGGATGGGTATTAGACTAGCAACCCCACCCTGTATAAGAACAACACTACCACTATTGAAACCTCAGAGCTGGATGCCGTATATTCCACTGGGGACGCAAGGGAATGCAGAAAGTCCCCTTGATAAGTTCGGATGGTGTCATCAAGAGACGGTGTTTATCTGAAAAATGTGATAAATTCGTGCAATACATTTCGAACATTCTCACCTATTTGTCAGCACATTTTACGCGACAAATGAAAAGATAAAAAGTCATTTAAGATAAACAAAATAATTGGGGATTTGAGAGTAAAGAGGATGCTAACCAATACTGTTCATGATGGGGATTACCATAGCAGATCAATTGGGACAAATTGTTTTTGTACGCAGAAGGGAAGGAGCTTAATTTTACGGACAGCTATTGTTTCAGCATACTTTAATATTCACCCATGTCGGGTTTTTATAATTTTGCAAGCTGTTTTGATTTCAGACTCATGATTCATATCAGTAATGTGTTTTTCTATAGAAGGAGCTGGTAGTCTAACACCTGTATTTATCATTTTCGAAATTCAGTTGTTTTTCAAACTATTTATGTACACATGTGTTCAAATTCTAGTTCACTCGTAATCTTATACCTTTCAAATAAGTTATCAACATGCCGTTTACCTTCAGACCATGTTTCCACACACGCACACTCGCAGGTCCGATTACTCCTCGATAAGATGGCTTTTATAGAAGTTGATAACGTTGTCATAATATGTGACATGCATGAAGATACCAAATATTTTCTAGATGCACCTCACCCTGTACAAATCACACCAGCCTTAAATGTGAGGAAGTAAGTTACAGTCAACTCTTATTTTTATGTATACTTTTGAGTCAGGCAGAAGGTGACTCAATAAAGCGATTGATTAATATAAAGCTTTCTTTGACAGAGGAGCATTTTAATTTTAACACCTCTTGCCGATTGGCACACAAGGGACGCTTGAGGAAATGCTGTTGTAAGAAGAATGATAGTATCTGAACAGATGATGAGATAGATGATGACAACGAGAAATTTCTATCTACACACTTGTCGAAAATGAATATACTTTGAAGTTTTCGAACCGAAGCCCACACTTTTCTCTGTCCCTAAAATAGATGCATAAATCAAATTACTTTACAAAGGAGGAACAAACAATTTTCTTTTCAGACAGTGAGGCTTAGAATTATCGAAAAAATGTAGGAACATTCTCTACCATAAGCCTCAGCATTGTACAAGTGATTAAGTTGCATCGCATATCAAAAACTACTTTACATTTATGTGGACACATGCACAGGGAAGAGTGACTGCAATACGACACTGCAAAATGTATAGACCTCTGTGTATTGAGCTATGACAAGAAAATTTTCTAGCGTGTTTCTATTTGATCAAAATAAGGCGGACTGTAATATTGTTCATTTAATTTGTTTATTGTATAGTTCATAATGTAGTTCTCAAATTTCCTGTATGTAATTGGGTTTAAATCTCAGCTAAGGCCTCAGAAATTTTAAGAGTGAGAATTACATTTGAATTTGATTTTGATTTTTCATGAGCTTTTGAAAGTTGATTCACTGATTTTGTATTATAAGTTACCTTATGGCTTCAGTAGATTTTTCTGTATATCCCCGCTTGTTGTAGCATCGTATCTCGTTGTTATGGTGGTTTAATGACAAGTTATATGTTTTGTGTGCTTTTTAAGTCAAATTTGTATTCAAAAGACTTTTTTCTGGTCCACATATTATTGGTAGCATTATATTCTTGAACTGAGTTACATTTGCTGCACTTTTATCAGAAAATGTTGCTTGATTCTGATGACGTCTGCGCAATGTAACGGATTATAGGAGGCAGTAATTTCAAAAGTTAAATGTATATTATTGAATTTTCATGAAATCTTGCCGGTATATTTTAGTGTATTTATTGAAATTCCCTAAAATCCACTGGATAAAGCAGGTGGCGCCACTTCAAGATAGGGAAATGCCATATAATAACCCATTTATTATTACTGCTGGTTTCGTAAAACATCGTCGAATGTAAGTTACATAGTAAAATGATGTCATGTTTATTCACGGATTTGTCAGCCTGTAAATTTATGGTGATATCAGCTTGATATACGAAAAAGAAGAGTAAACAACACTGACTGCCGACTTCATATCTGTACATTGTCTTTTAGTACTTCTAAGAGTACTTCTTTTGCATACTCCACGCCTCTTCTTACCCGTTATATTTTGTTCTTTGTGTCTGTACTGTCTTTTGGCTGAAGTTCTGTTCTATGCATAAAATAACTGTTGTTCAAATAATGCGATTACTAAATAGCAAGATATTTGAGCTTGTATTGGCATAAACCCTGGGAAAATTATCTTTTTCCGGAGATTCTGGGGTTACCTGACTACTGAACACATACAACTTCTGTATTCTACTTCCCAGTAAAACAAAAAAATCGAAATATTTCTAGATGCATTCTAAAAGACTTTCTAGACTTAAAAACGATTGGGAACGAAGAAAATATTTTCTCTTCAACAGTAAACTAAATCCAGCTTCTTCAGAAGTGTATCACAAATAAATCCTCCAGTGAAACGCTAGTTACAAAGAAATCACAAAAGTTAGCAAATCTCCCATTGGATGGATTTGTTCTTTAAGGTACAGTGAATGCCAGATGTCATTTGTATGAAGACTAATTAAAGTTCTCAAACTTATTGGGTGAGTTGTTTAGTAAATCGTGGCTGATTGTAAAATGTCGATTAAATAAAAGAACTAGAAGAAATTTCACAATGCCACTATCAACCTATTACGCAGAGAGTTGCCTCCAAAAATACTCGTAATGCAATCAGAATGAAGCTTACGTCAGCAGATGAAGATGATCCCTTTGAGATGTAAGTAGTCAAGATGATTATAGATACTACCAGGACTTAAAAATTTGATGTGGAGTTGCTAATATTTCACTTTGGCAAGTCTCCATTCTAATATTTTTAAACAGGGGGTAGAAGTTTTGGCTTTCCGCCTCAGAACTGATATCTTTAATGGCTATTCTTCAGTCTAGTCACAAAAAATTATGTAAATGTTCAATGTTCTTCAGATGTCATAAGTATCAAAGAGCACAACTCATGTTTTCGGTATTTCTTTCACTCTAGTTTGGGAGTCATCGTCAGTACGCACCCACTGTGGTTCGAACCCAGGACTTTCCGATTATAAAGGAATGTCGTATATAAGGCACTGGGAAACCAATTTAATGGGCCATTAATTCTAACGTCTGCCGATTCCTGATTTTAGCGCCACCATCAACCGGTGTCATCAGTGGGAAATCCATCCTCAATCCATGGTTTTCAATGGTTATACAGCTTATATCAATCCATGGTCAATATCGAAAAACAAATCTAATCCTTGCAAACGAACTCTTGAAAATTTCTTTCATCGTGGTTTTGTTTTGTATGTAGATGAGAGATCAAGCTAAAGCTACTAATAATATGGTTGTGGTCTACCCACGGGATAAAGCAGATGGCGCCACTTCGATAAAGTGATAAGTCATATAATCAACCCCCCTCCATGCCTTGGTAGTTCACTTCATATTTAGTAGAATAAAAAATAGACACGTCAGTGTTTATGTCATTTTCAATGTCCTTAGAAAAAAATTTTTTAAATGAAAAAGTGTATACACGTACATGTCTGTCACACCCATTTGTAAACAACCAATCAGGAAGCGAACAAGTCTGTTGTTGGTATTTTATTGGCTAGATATTTTCTACTTTACTATTAAATAGATGGATTCACTTCTCATTTAGGTTATCGCAAATATGGCTGGCGATTCTGGTTCAGGACGTGTTATACTGATCCCCATTGATGGCAGCGAACACTGCGAACGGGCATTTCGTTGGTATCTGGACAATATGAAACGAGAAACTGACTGCATAAAGTTTGTCCACGTAATCGAACCAGTTTATAATACTCCTGCCATTGGACTGACAATGGAATCTCCTCCAGTACCTGATATGACCCGCGTTATGGAAGAAAGCATTGATGCAGGTAAAAAGCTTGGACAGAAGTATATGCATGAAGCCAAAGCCCATAAACTTACTGCCCAAGCGTTTTTACATGTGGACACTAAGCCTGGAAGTTCTCTTGTGAAAGCTATTTCGGATCACAAAGCAAGTGTTATTCTGATGGGTAATCGTGGGGTCGGAGCTATTCGTCGTACATTCTTGGGAAGTGTCAGTGACTATATTCTTCATCATGCTCACATTCCTGTGATTATTGTCCCACCTCCAGAAAAGCATTAACATAACGGCTGTCATGGTAATAACTGCCCTATTTCACAGCTAGAAATTGTAAGTCGCTGTTGAATCATTTTGATACAAGAACTATTGTATTTGATTATCCAATATTTGTTTCTGTCAAATTCACAGAATAAAAACCTACCCATCTCTTTGAAGTTTCTGAATTTCTATTTAATGCGATAAGTTGGGTTGTTTCACGAGTCTTGTGTACTTGTTTAGTTAACACTGCATCGTGAATTGAACAATACCCTTTAGACGTTAACAACTAAAGTGTATGAACATAACTCATACTCCAGTAGAATTTGTCGTTTATGTTCTCAGAAAGCGCGAGTCCATGAAGCTTTTGACTATTGGTTTGGGTCATGTGGAAAAGTGTAGACTGCCTGACTGGTTTCCTTAGTATGTTAAGAATTAAGTATTAGGACTGTTTGTGTCATAGCTCAACATCATTGATACTGACACAGGTGCAGGTACTCTTTGTGATTTTACAACTCCATTAAATTCTCATTATTCTCCATGTAATTATTTTTTCTACTGTACATTTACGTTTATTGTAATTTCATTGCATTTCTTTTCTTCACCTATGTGTGCTTTTGTGAGGTGTAGAAACTTGAATTGCTGCATTTTTGGGGCAGATTTCATGTTAATACCTCACTTGGGCTCTTATCCGAAGATTATTTGCTGATAAGAAATGATTATTTCTTCTGATTTAAGATATTTATTTGTCTTAGTTTAGGTTGGAATGCATTCGTTTTAAAACAAGTTTACAATTTACTGGTACTAAAATAAAATACCTTTGACTTCTTAGGTTGTTGTTTTTCAAAAAGTTTTTAGCTTGCTGTTAATTTCTGCTGAATGATAGTGCTAGACGACGAAAGTACTGGAGCAACCATTGACACAATGTCTTTTTGGTACCATTTTAGTAAAACATCTCTAGTTATCATTTCTTCTTTTCGAAACGACTGAGAGAGGAAAAGCCATCTAAGTGATCATGAATGTAAGTTTTTGTACGTCAAGAGATCTGAGTCTTGTGTATGTTTCAGGAAACGGTTTAATGAGATGAATTTCTCTCTTTTGTTAAAATGCTTCACAGTTTGAACTTAAATATATGACAGATTCTGCATCATTTATTTTATGTATACGAAATTATGCCTGTACATTTCCTTGATGACGCGTTGGAATTAGTATGACTAAATACCATCCGCTATTTAGTAACATTCATACTAAACCAAAGTCACGTACTGGCTTTTCTGCACTTCCTTTTTTACAGGATATATGACAGTTAATCATAGTTTAGGTTTCATTGGATAAGTCAGGTAAACTGGAGATGTATTCATTACTTAGAGTTTACAACTTGTAACTCACGAGTCTTTCCATAGCAGTAGGAATATGGTACAAAATCGTCGGTTGACATGAATATTCCACCTTTTGTCTTATTTACACAATGATAATATTGCGAATAAGCTGAATGGGTAGTACAAACGTTATGTGTAAATTTTAGTGAACTTATCATTTTCGTTTCATAAATGTGTATTCTCTATAGTACTTTCGTTTATTTACTATTCCAATGGTCTGAATTTCACGGTTGGGATTAAACCGGATGTGAACAGATGTTTCAGTCAGCAATACTCACTGTTTTGTGGTTTTCTGTGCTCTCACATTATAGAACTTGCATGATAAAGTGCTACTTTCCATTACATCATGTTTAGATCAGCTTTTCGAGTTTTTAAAGTGAGCCACTCATTGACTGCTGTATTTTAACACCCAGTTCAAAGAGAAATTTTATAGTCTTTATTGGGAATAATGGAGAATTTCCAATGAATAGGGCCTTAACATCTTCAAGATTATATTCTTTGCTTTTTACTTTTTTTATTAATCTTTGCATTATTTCTATTCTTGTCTACATTGATAAGTAACTCTTTGATTTGCTTATTCATTTGTTAATTTAAGTTGACATGAGCATATTCGCATTTACTGGAATAGAGGTCTGAATAAATTACAGCAGTGAACGTTTGTTCCCTTTGTATCCCTCTATGAATTTTACAATCAGTTCTACTATGCTGCTTTTTAATTCATTCCTATTTTCAGTGTACTGACTTTTTCTGATATTTCGTGTCTGTCAAACATATTACAATACTGTAGTATGAGAGCGATTTAGTCAAAGATATTAGACAGTAGGCTTAATACTGAAAAAGACTGGATTATAAATTGCTTAGATAGACTTTAGACTTTAATTGTAAAATATGTTGTGAAGTAGATGAAATAAATTGTTCATGGTTTTCAACAAATATCCATAAAGTTTCATCAAATAAATTGTGTGATTACTGATTTCAGTTATTTGCATGCAGCTATATTTAGCCTTTTAGCGTTTACATAATTAATCGATTGCACTATTAATAGTGATTGAAGGACCCGAGAAAGTTGTTGTTTCAGGCAAGCAATTAACATCAATATAACATTTGTTTAAACTATTGATTACTGATATTAATAGTCAGATTTCAAAAACATCAGATAACAAGTAAATTGAGTGCATAAGACAGCCTAAAAAGAATTTTTTATTCCGAAATCATTGTTGTTTACTGAAACTAATAATGTTAAAGAAGACATAGAAAGTTGTGAGTTATTGACATCAGTGTCAGATCGCGTACTACTAAGACTTATGGAGATGTTTCTATGTAAACATTCAAAGCACTAAGCTTAGATGTCAGACGTGGCATACAGCCTTTCTTTTTCTAGTACTATTTGCATTTTACTCACTTCATTCATTTTTTATCATATTTAAGATAAACGGATTGCAATACAAAGGTGTTTGCTAAAACAGTTGTGAAGATTTGGTATTATATTAGGAGCTGATACTTCATCTCTCTTTAGGCATATTTAAAATTAGATACCCTTACAATCAAAGGTATCTTGACACTTTTAAATATAGTAGATTTTACAGGGCTTGTTGAAAAGCAGAATACCCTTCGGTAATTTATTAATTTTATTATTATTCCTTTGGGTTCCAGTTGTGAAGTAGAGCTTCATATCTCATTCCTCTCTCCGCAATAGTTTAAACTGTGTCCACGATTGCCCATAAGTTTTCATTTCCTCCTTGTTACTTGTCGTCTCCCCTTCAGGTTTCATCTTATGCAGTAGCTGGTTTGCGTTGTTTATCAACTGTCTTCTCAGTGTGTGTCCGATCCATCTCCATTTCTTTCTCCATATTTGTTGGGCAAAATGTTCTTGGCTGTTGCTAATCCTTCCTGGTCATCTGATCTTCAGTAAGATGCCAGTGATGGCAGCTGTTGATAAAAGTATTCAACGGCATGTCGGAATGCTTTTCGTAATGCGCAATTGAAGTCTTCTCACCATATAGAAGAACTGTTTTGATATTTGTGTGTGAAACCGAATCCTGTTCCTAACGCATAGCGCAGAGGATTTCCACACTGATTTCAGATTAATTTCCAAATTCGTATTTACGCATTTATGAAAAAAAACAGTTCCTTCTCATCAGCTGTACACTAATATATCGTTTCTTACATTGAAAAACTTTTACCAATCAACTGGTTATTTTAGTTAATCAGTTTGGGTATAGGCGGGGGTGAAATTAAGAGGTTAAAAGTCATCAAAACAATTAACTAATCGATGTCAGTAACAAGATATCTAAGTTTTGAATTAGGAGTGAACATTAATTACGGAATTCAAGATAAGTTAATTCGTAGGCGTTAGCACCAATTTATTACATAATCAAGAAATTTGTAAAATAGCAATGATGACTATGAAAAATAGGATGACTCAGAAGAAGTAGTTGGCCATGGCAAACAAAGGAGCTGTACAAATTTCTTTTGAACAAACAGATTTGACTTGTTCAGATGAATTCCGATTGCCTCTGCTCTTTCACTTTTGCTAGGAAGGCATAAAATATAGTACTCACTTAGTTACTTATCTGGCAGGGGCTGAGAACGCATAGTCACATGACAGCATTTCGAGAGGAAGACCGAAGTTCACCCATTGTCGGTAGTACCAGGTCTTTTGTGGAACATCAGTCGAAGTAAGATGAGGTAACATTGTAGCATTATAAAATTTCCATTAATTCACGTAGTGTCTTCACTTCTGGGTTGAAATCATTTCGAAAGTATAAGATGAATCGTTTGATACATAATTATATACCCGAAGCCTGCTGTAGCTTCATCTTCAGTTATAAACGTTGTTTTCGTGCATTTTCTCCTCTTGTTCGTGGAGTGTTTAAATCATACTCTGTGGTTTACACTTATGAAACTAGACGGGATTAAGTTCAACTCAGTCAGGCAGCGTGAGACTTTTTAAATAATCAATTAACAAAACAAACTCTTCTATATATTATTCATTTGCCCAGTTCGAATTTGGTAGAGAGGAATCCGAATCCAGATTCCGTTGGACGAGAGACAGGTGCTTAATTTAGTAAACCACGACACCATAAGTGTTTTTATTTGTAGAAAATAATGCATATATTAAGGATCTGTGTCACATTCCTAGTTCCATTTCAATAAAATCAATTAAACTTTTCTACATGCATTATTTATTAGGAGTTCAATGAACTTCATTTGTCTCTTTATTCTGATTTACAACTAATATCACACTATCTGACTCATTTTTGATGTGCACACAATTCTATCAGTAATAAATAAATGTCATGTGTTGCGGTGTTTCACTTCAATCTCTAGTTGGATGTTTGGTAAAATGACGTAATACCCATAAAGAGCTTAATTATATCAACCTATTTTGCAAGCATTAGAAACTTTCGATTTGTTTGTCTGAAGTCATATGCGGTCGATTCTTGTGATATTAGTGCTCTGATAAATGAAACAGTTCTGTGCAAATGAGACATCGAGGGAATTCAAATATGCGTGTCTTTAGAAGAGTGTAACTCATTTCATAGTATCGTTTTATCTTAGTTAAGACCGAGAGATTCAATGCACATAAAACCAAATTGAAATGTGGTCGAAAATCCACTGGTTTTGAAGTTATATATATTAGCAAAATTCGAATCAATGGCCTGTGAAATTTTTCTATGAATTTAGTTTTTGTTTTAACTTTAAGCATTGACTCCTTATAGTATAATCATTCCACCAATAATTAAATATCTGAAATAATCTTACTAATACTCAAATAGTTTAAAACTTTTCTTGATGAGGAGACCCATTCACTTCCTTTTAACTTACTCTTATAATAAAGAAAAATCCCCATTTAGAAAGCAAAAGGATTGAGCGAAGAAGTTTTTACTTTTTAATTAGATCTTCATCTCTTATGAGACAGAACTCAGTAAAACAACATAGAAGTAGATAGAAATAATTATAATTTCATAAGCGCTACACACTTGGAATCCACTTTTACCCTCATTATACTTACTTTAGTTCCTGGGGGATGTGAAATCTATTTTTGTACTTGTTTTTGCATTATTTTCAGTCACTTGTTTGTTAGATTTCGGCTAAATCTACGATCATCTCCAATAATTTGAACTGTTAGTCGAAATGAAGACGAAATAACTTTCCAATGGTTTTTATTTTTATTAGTAGGTGATAAAAACGAGATTGGGAAAGATATTGCTGTCACACTGGAGTTACTGCTTACCATTGGTAGAATACACTAGTGATCTGACGTTAACAGAAGTTAAATGACAAACCGGTGTTTTATTTTAAACCATGTCACCCAAAACAATGTTTTCTCATTAACATACTAATCATGGTAAATATGTACGTGTTACATCTATACAATTATTAGGGCAAAAAAAGTAATCAAAGTTCAAAGTAATTAACTGACACGACAGTGAATAGATGAGTGTTTTGGATTCAATTGACTTTAATCTCTTGTCCAAATGAATGAAACACGTAATGTTAGTTGAAGTAAAATTAGATTGGAAGATTATCAACAGTATCTCTAAACAAAGATGAAATTCAACGGCCTAGCAATTTTAGCTTCTTATATTTTAGAACAAGACATATAAGCGAACAATATTGTTTTCAATTAGATCTTCTTCAAGCTTTACTCTAATTTACATAGATTTATATATAAAATTTTAACCAATGACGGTGATTTTGGGAATCAAATAATAATCTTAATAACAATAATAATAATATATAGGGCGAACAACTAGACAACTTAACAAACGCATTAATGAGCATCTTCCTTCATGGTTCGGAAAAGGTCAAATAAGATCCATACGAAGTTCTACTTTGGCTCATTTGATTGATAGCGGTCACCAAGTGGACAAAAATAGTGCTTTCAAAGTTATCTATCGTATTCCATCGAGTCTTTCGAATGGAATCAGAACCCGTCTTTTACACCTAGCCGAAGCTTTGGGAATTCGAGAGAACAATCCTAGTCTTTGCATACAAAAGAAGTTTGTTCTACCTTTGTCTCTCCCTTGGCCTAGGTGAATTGTATTCAAAACCCTCCCACCCTTTCTTATTTTCCACCTCCTTCGTACTTTTATAATATTTATTTAAACTCTGATTATCGTTCCACTTCACCTTTTAAGATGTGACCCAATTTATTTCTACACTTATATACATATACTATCTTTGTTATTCTTATCACCTGCATAAACCTTATTATCAATATTTTGTTATCATTATAACCATCGTTATTAACTACGTTCAAAACATTTACCACATTATTATTATTATTACTATTATTATTATTAAGATTATTATTTGATTCCCAAAATCACCGTCATTGGTTAAAATTTTATATATAAATCTATGTAAATTAGAGTAAAGCCTGAAGAAGATCTAATTGAAAACAATATTGTTCGCTTATATGTCTTGTTCTAATACTATAAATGGGAATATTTAAAGATTCTTATATTTTGCAATATATGACGCCACCGGCAGCCAATTTCATCTATGAGTATTTGTCCTCACACACAACTTGGTGGACTGAGTTGATCATGGCTAACCACCAGAACTTCAAACGATTTCATCCTGTAAGCAGTCGCTAGTGTGTACCTGATTACAATTAGTTTCTGCCTGGTAGAAAATAGCATAGTTACTTTTAGTTTACAATTAAGGGGACTTCAACTAATATATATTTTTCCAATGGGAATTTCCTCCATTACTTCTGTGGAGTGCTCTCAAACATTCACCTTCATGTAGATATGTTGTTTCCCATTGTTTTTTGGTAATGTGATAGTCAGCACTCAACCAAAGTTATTTCCTGTCTAAGAAATAATTTTTTTATGTAACTAGTTATGTGCTCCTGGAAGAAACCAACACAAAGTGATGCTTCAGCAGTTTTGTTGCTCTCTGAGTGTCGGATTTCCATAGCAAAAAGTTTTTCACTGCCGTCTGACAAGGAAGCTAGCTCGATACAACTTCTTAAAATAATTTAGAGAATTAGTCAGAAGAAGAACTAGTTTTCTTACATTTTTTGTTATCTACTTCCTTCCTTGTTTCTTTTTATTAAATTAAAACAGTTTCAGGAAAATCGATTTACATCTTTCTTTCATTTTGTACCCCAGTTTATCTGCAAAACTTCTATCCAACCAATATATATTACCCTTGAAAAATAAAAAAATTTCAAAATTGATGGTCAATAAACTTATCTGTTATTTGATTGATGCAAATAATTCTCGACTATTCATCTTACGGAATAGGGCTGATCGGTTTCTGTAGACATGTGGTATTCTAAGATGGATACCTCCATGTTTTCTTCAGTCCTTAAATGATTTAATTGGTGAACATTGCGCTTTATGGTGCTCTTCACGTCCATTCAGTGGTTTAGTATACTGTCCTTAGGAATATGTTAGGCCAACAAGTGAAACATCTAATCGAATATATTTTGTACGTACTTGAGATAAAACTCGCTGTACCATGAGATTAGTTAAATACTGTAAGTGTAGAGATGGCTGACGGCTGTTAGTTTGAAACTTCTAAGATATGATCATTCATGCTTTAGCACTTAATCAGCAGCATAGTCTTCACTTCACTAGGCTGTTACGTCATTAATGAGATACCAGGTAATAGTTCAGTATTCTGTTATTTCTGCTATATATCATTCTTCTAGTAACGCTATTGTCAGTTGTTCTAACATCTGATACGACAAGCTTCAAAAGTTATAATTTTGCATTGGAACTTTGGGAAATCCACTTGAAACATAATTATTGATCAGAAGCATGATGTATTTAGTATTTTGTGACTGACGTCATTGTTTTAGTGGTGAATTGTTCAACTTCGACACTAAGCAACACAAGTACGTGTTACGTTACTTTAAAGTTGCAGATGCATACGAAAAAAGTGTCAAAAATTAAGAAATCGCAATCGAACAGGACATTTCTGGGTTAGTTTCCCTGTTGGCGACGTCAACTGGTATTCACTGAAAAATCCTTTCGCTTAATTCAGCAACTATCAATAGATTTTGTGCAGCATCTGGTGAACTGTACCTATAAGGAAAGCAGGATTTCATCTGTCTTCTTTAGAACTCAGGTTCTTATGAGATACATAGTGTACAGCATTCAGTAAAGGTCAGATAATTATGAAGGTTATTTCACGTAGAATGTTCATTTGATTATTCACTATAACTGTGACGTTTTAACCTTTAAAGTGAAATAATCAAGTTACATCATCACTAAAGTTTATCATTAGAAAAAAATTAAGTAATATACATAAAGGTGTATATCAGTTAGAAAAAGACCGAGAGTTAGGTTGAGGTTAAGATATTAAGATAATTTAATTTTACTATTACTTCTGTTTATCGTATCAAGGATTCGTAGATCAAGAAAACGAATTTTCTTTGTAATATTTTCCCTTGACCAAATTCATCAGTCAATTTTTTCACAAGGAAATTCGCTGAGAGTTACTAATAATTTCAGCATATTAGCTATGCTAAACTTTTCAACGAATTAGGCAAACTACTCCATAAAAGTTCGATTCCAAACAATCAGTAGTGGTAATCTGATCACTAATATTCAATCGTATACTTCATAAGTGTCAACTTCCAGGTTTTCCACTACATGATGGCGTTTTTACAACGTAAATGTGTCTTTCTAGATCGGTCAACGGAAACAAACAGTGCCTGTTTCTTCTATCTCCTCTACAATTAAGAGTAACAGTGATGTGCCAATTAAACAGGTTATGCAGTTGTTTACTAGATTTACAATTGATTTCCATCACTTTAGTGTTTCGTGCCTGTCGATGGGAAACTTCTGCAAGTGTTACAGTGTTAAGTGCCTAGAGTCATCAAAATTACTTTTAAGCATAAGACTTATATTAGGAAAACGACACTCAAATTTCATTTGGCTAGATCCAGCAAGTGGATTGCCAAGTTTGTAATGTACTTTCTAAGCAAAAATAAAATATCTCTTCACCGTGTCCTTGTAACAGTGTATTCTTTGAGTCCTTTAGTCACGACTGCCTAACGTCTAACAGTGAACAAGTTTCCTAATAACTTGCGCACATATTTGTAATTGTTTTCTAAGTTAACCACTTATCTGAAGCAAAACCCAATCGGAAAGAGATTCAAAACAGTTTAAATTCACCAATTCAAAACTGTTAATGACAAGAGGTCTATGTAATACATGTCTTCAAATCCAGCTCATCTGAATGAAAATTCTCTACTCTGAGAGGCTATAAGATGTTATCTAGTTAAGTGAAAATGCGACTTTGAAACTAAACTTTACAAGGTTGCTTGTATTGTTACCTAGGTAACTGATTCATGAAAATGACTTTTTTTATTCAATTCACTGCTCTCTGTGAATATACTAAGCATTATTTTAGAGTGACACTATTGAAATGTTTTACAAACGATTCATGAATAGATAATTTCGCATCACAAAGAAGAGGTACTGAGTTTTTAAAAAACAATTATGAATTTAAAACATCTTTCTGTTTCAAACAAAAAGACTCATCAAATGGGGTCAGTATTAAGGGTATGTTTCCTAGTGAATTGCTACACTGAGAGTATACTAAATAAAACTTAGTCCAGTATCCTTTTTATCAAATGCTGGAGTATTAACTGATAGATTACCGACTCCGCGCTTATACAGAGTTATCTGCTGGATGACTTGTACTTTTTCGCTCCCCCTCTGTCTGAGGTTGAATTTAAAAAAGGAAGGATTGCAACTGGAATTTAATCTGTATGCTGACTTGCGAAACTTATCTACTGGTAAATTTTGTTTTCTCTTCAGTCACTGTAGGATTCCAACTGAAAATCATTTCAGTGGACGATACACAAACACCACCTTACCTTCAGCTTGAATTGCATCAAATCAAGGTAGTGGGACCTTGGGTTATCTTAGTTTTTTGAACTGACAGCTGGGGCAAACTTACCAGATAGCTTTGGTGTAGACCTCCTAACTCAGTAGTGAAAATGAAGAGATGATAAACCACAGATACCTGGTTTGTATCAGCGCAGGTTCTTCACTCAAAATCAGCCATAACCTTATTTTAATTGTATTAATCTGATCACCAAAACTACCTAAGATAATGTGGAAGTTGTTCGCTTGCGTAATATTAAGTTGTAACCCTAATAAATAACAATTCAAAACATCCATGGTCTTGGTTGACAGGTTGCAAAACAGTTAGGTGTAGAAAATGGCTTCAGTTAGTGCAGATCTGAATCTCTAAGGAACACGAATTTTATCCAGGATCACGGGCCTCTTACCAAATCCAGGCGGTTTTCTCCTTGAGTAAGGGAAATCTAGCTGATCAGTTAATTATATTTATACTAGTTTTTCGTTTGACGTTATAACTTAGCTTAACACTTATTGAGTAAACTTCGCGTGGAGTCTTTGTTGAGATCTGGTGTTCTTAGCCCAGGTGATGCATGACTCAATCAAATTTGGGAAGATTACACATCTGAAAGCATCTGGCGTTTAAATTGTTCGCTGACTTTCATTATTACATACATTTTAGTAGTTTATCTTTGTAGAGTTTAATATTCACATGGTTTGAATAGTACGGATACAAAGTACACTTTCTGCTTCAAGAAAAATCATATGTTTTAAAATGACCTTTGTGATTATTGTACACGTATACACATACCTCTGGTCATATGATTATATGTTTTGCTATCTGTAGCCAAAGTTTATAGTACTGTTACCTCGGTATGAATAATTTTTACTGTATTCTAAAATCTATCTATCTAAAATCTATTCTTCTTCATATTATTATTATTTAACATGAAGGGAACTCAATTCTCATCGTAGGACTATGTACAAAAATGAGGCAGTTCAAATTGTCACACTTCACATAAGCCCATATGAACTCAGATAAAAAAAGATTTTTGAAGAAACTATAACAAACGAAAATACGTGGAAGAAAGAGCGATTGCATTGAAATTGAGGGGCACCTAATGAATATGGAAGTTCATAAAGTTTAAATGCATCTGTGACAACTAAAATTCACGTCACCAATAATTTCCAGCCACTGGATCTTAGCGTCTCGAGGACCACAGACAGGCAATTAGCATTTCTTCACCTGACTCATACCAGTAGTTAATGACTTCATGGATTGATGTCATGTTTTGATTAGACTTCATCTAACTCTTTTCCTCCCTAATTCTATATCAGCCAGTATTACTCGACAAAGAAGGCAACGTCATTATGGATAGGATTTTATTTTGATAAATCACACAGTGTTGCACAGTAATATTAACTGATGACGTTTCGAGCACAAATTATTGCTCATAATCATATGATATATTTCCGCTGGTAAATACTAAATGTAGGTCAGCTGCCTAAAAGCAGCGTTTAATACATTTAGATAAACGCCTCTTAGTGACTTCAACAGCAGTATCATTTTCGAACGCTAAACTAAGTAATAATAGATTCGTCCTTCAACTTCTTCAAAGTGGTTGACAATTCATTCTCAATACCTTCCGTTCTATCTTTCTGGTCGGTTGATTTTAAAAACTTTTCTTTGTCGCAAAGAATGCTACGTAATTTGTTGATGTAATCCTCACGATTTAAAATAACTATGCCACTAATGCTGCTTTCCCCAATACAAATACGGCTGTACAGCTGGAAAATGAAGTCGTCGAAAAGAAAATACACAACCAACTTTCTAAGGCACCTAAAATAAACTCACATTCCCCCAGTAATATTAACACCTGATTGTTTAATTGTTAGAAATATGTTAGAGGAAATCTCTTGAGTAATTATGACAACTTCGAAAAGATAAATATTATCAAGTGTTCAGTTTCTAAAACAGCCATGACTTTTTGTGATAGAGAAGATTTGCAGCTCAGGTGGATGATTTTGATGTGGTTGTGTTCTCTGAGCTGGATAGTTAATTTGTGAAGCTTTCATCACCCTACTGGGTGACATCTTCAGCGCATACTTCAATTTGAAGTAAGCTTTTTGATTTCTCCACGAGTCTATTATTCATCTCTCCTGGTGACCTTGGACGTAAGGTAGGAATTGACGTCGTACACAAACCAACGAAGTCACTTCACTCAATTCTGTGTCAACCAAAAGTCTCAACAAGGGGACATCCCCTTCGTCTTCGTATCCACGATCATAAGCTAGCCGTCAAAAGACATGATATCCACTCCGTCATATCACTACATAAAGACAACCACGGACATCAGTTCAACTGGGACAACGTTCAAATACTAGACAGAGGAAACAACAAGAATGCTAGAGAATTTTTAAAAGCTTGGCATTCCAGTGAATCATCAATCAATAGACACATCGAGATAGACAAAATTTATCAACCGATAAGAAAGAAACCTCACACACAAAGGTCAAAATTCAAGTCAAAGAAACAATGACTGACAAAACAAGTAACCTAGAAGGTGTGAAGACTCACAAAAACAACCAATCACGTCCAAGGTCACCAGGAGAGATGAATAATAGACTCGTGGAGAAATCAAAAAGCTTACTTCAAATTGAAGTATGCGCTGAAGATGTCACCCAGTAGGGTGATGAAAGCTTCACAAATTAACTATCCAGCTCAGAGAACACAACCACATCAAAATGACCTTTTGTATATTAGTCATAGACTGGTCAGATAAAGACATTTAATTGTCATATCATGTAGTTCATTCGGTCAGACTGGAGGTCAACCAATACTTGCATGAACGCTTTAGAGTGTGAGTTCACAACATGTTTATGAAAACAAACCACCTACAATCCGAGTATATTTATGACATCAATGTGACAAAGGAACCTGCCTGCATCAGTAAAATAATCATCAGGAGTCAAAGGGCCATTGGCAGTTTCATTTTATTTTCGGATTATTGGATAACACGTACTTACAACAGTTCTAAAAGTCGAGTAAAGAGCTGGTAGGTTTCATGGAGAACGCGTAGCCATTCAGCTGGTAAGTCAGGACGGATAATCCCTGACTTCCCACTACAGAAAACTTGTTATAGTGGGCGTAATGTTTTCCAGCCTAATATTAGTTCGGTTGTGAGTATCTGTCTTCAACTGAATCACATATACACAAGCGAGATATCTGAAAGGAATGATTAAACCAAGTCTGGAAGCTTCCTACTACTTTAAGATAGACTTCATTCATGTTTTCTATGAGAAATTTCATTATGAAAGGTTAGGAAATATGCCCATGTATATAAACTTGCTATTGAAATGAGTCAGTCTTATAGATGTGACTCTACAAAAAGTGACTGAGTCAGTTTTATGTAAAAAAAATGAGTCAGTGACTTACATAAACCTTTTAAATAACAATATTAATTTATTATCATAAGTGATAATGTTGACAATAAATACACATCAATGCCGTTCATTTATAGGTGACCGTGTTACGAAATAATACATAGTTTCACTGAATATATATGTCATTATGAAAAATTTTAACAGGAGTTGTTAAACCTGGCAGCATTGTACGGAAACAAGACCTTATTGTTAGCAGCATTGCTTTTATTTTGCGTATAAATACATGATTTGGTGTGTTAACGAAAAAGAAGCAAAATATAAGAAGTCAAAAATACAATGATATTACTGAGTTACTGGTTAGGCTGTGCGTCGGTGGCACAGAGGTTATCACTCTCGCCAATCATGCACATGGTCCGGGGTTCGTTCCCCTGCCGACGCACACCTGATATCAATGGTCGGCCCGCAAAATTCCATAATTGTACCAAAAATACAGTGTGGAATCAAGCTGTAATAAAAAAAGTTGGTAAGTTATAATGATATTTACTTAACTGACTGATTAATACATTATTTTAACTGAGAAAGAATCTTGCGGTTTCAGGGGCGCCTTCGTTGCAAACTCACATGAGTTGAAGAATCAGTTAAAGAAAGCTTTACAGCACAATGCTTGCTTATGGTACATGACTCGTTGTCTCACACAAACTCAAGGCACATATAAAGGAGCCGAAAAGTGCATATTAGCTGAATTTTCAAATTTCGCAAGCCCTATTTAAAAACACTTATACAAGATGGGAAAATTCATAGTCTCCGATGTTTACTATGTAACATTTAGTA